CGAGTCTCCTACCGGCCTCGCTCTCTGCGCCGCGGCCTCGCTGTCCTCGTCCTGTCACTTCCAGGAGCTGCCCCATGAGTTGTGGGTGCTGGCGGCCCCCTTGCCCCGGGGGCCTGTGGTTCCCGAGGATGGCGGCCGTTGCGGGGAGAGGGCTGGGGCTCAGGGGAAGCGGGCCGTCACCTCGGAGACCCTGTGCTTCAGGGTCGGACCCCAAACTCGGCTCCACGGTCCAGACCTGCTGACAGCAGTCCAGACGCTTCCGTGCTTTTTAGAGAAATACGTTTTTATTGATTTCAGAGAAGAGGGAAGTGGGAGAGAGAGAAGCATCCATGACGGGAGGGAATCACGGACCGGCTGCCTCCTGCACACCCTTCACCCGGGCCTGTGCCTGACCGGGAATTGAACCCTGACCTCCCGGTTCCTAGGTCGGCGCTCACCCCTGAGCCACACCGGCCGCGCTTACTGAGGTTTCTTGATGTTTTACAGCTGGCGGTGCCCACGGTGCCGTCTCCTGACTCACTAGAGGCCCCGCGCGGATGTCAGAATGTCACTGGGGCTGTTTCCGCGGCATTGAAGGTGGGACCCTCACGGTCCAGGCGCCGCTCATCCTCGGGTTTCCCTCCGGGCAGTTCCGAGAGCGGACGCCACCTCCTCCACTCGGTTGCTTCCTTCTCTTGTACGTACCTCTGCACCTTGTAATCAGCCCTAGTGCGTCAGGTATTTCCATGCGCGAAGTGTTTCTTGAGGACCTGCCGACACTGTTTTGGGTAAATCGGAGGCGATGCCGAAAACCGCTCCTTTTCCCAGAGCTTTAGATCCCCGGTGGAGAAATTGCACTTGTCCCGGTGGAGGATGCGGTCAGAGGGAGGTGTTTGGAGCGGCGGGCACCCGGGACTGACTGGGGGAGAAGGGTCCGCCCTGGGTGCCATCTCTGACGCCCTGTGGTCCTTCGTCATCTTGTTTTTGAGTTTCCTCCTTTAGTGAAATGCTCTGTGTGCAGAGTTGTGAACGCCAATGAGATGGTGATCATGAAAGGGCTTTGAGAGCAGAGCACCGTGTGATTAAACTTGAGAAGTCATGAGGGTCAGGATTGCAGAGCATTGGGGACAGCTTGTGAAGGACCTGGGTGCAGGCGGGGGAATGCGGACTGGAGCCTGTTAAATGCTGTCAGTCAGGAGGGGGATGCGATGGAAATGGCGTCATGGGAAGATGTTTCTGGCGCAAATTGCAGCGCAGGTTAGAGGGCGTGTGACTGGAGGCAAGAACTTGAGTGCTATTTTTTCCCCTAGCATCTCCAATTCTAGATAAGTTATGTTAAATGTTATCTTTAGGGCAAGAAAGCATACATAAAATATACCTTGTATTATATACACCTATATACTTTGTATTCTTTTGTTAGTTTATTTGCTTTGTGAACTTGTTACATTTTAGATTATCTTTGTAAAGGTTAACAATTACTTGATGTGGTACTAATTTTTCGTACAGGCCTTTTGAATTACCTTTAATTACACTAACCCATTAAGAGCTAAAAGAGGAATACTTGTAAGATTCTAAGACAAGACATGGTGACAGCTAAGTAGCAGAATTAATTGGGAAGTGTTTTCAAAACATATGTTCCAAGTCTTACTCTCCACTAATGTAATCAGAATTCTAGTAAGCATGCCAGGTCAGATATTCAGTGATTTTGACACTAAGCTATTGTAATGTATGTTAAATGCAACTTTTCAAAATCATTATTATTATTTAAAATTATATAGACCTGTATGTACTTTCAGCACTTTTCATATTTACTAAGTTTGAATTGTTGCCTAAGGAGGTGCAGACCTGATGTGCAGCTAGATTTGTCCTAGAATTCCAAACTGACTTTATAATATGAATCCTGTATAATCCTATGTAATAAAGAGCTAATATGCAAATGGTCCTCTCGCTGGGGCCGGGGGACCTGAGGCCGGGCCCCCTCCCGGCAGGGCTTGAGGGGGGACCTGAGGCTGCGCCCCCCCCGCCCTGCGGGGCTTGACGGGGGGGGGGCCAGCCCGGGCTGGGGCTCCC